AAAAACAGCAAAAGTATCCTCAATTTGTGTAGATTCACATTTCTTCAAATGATGATCCCTGGGGATGTAGGGTGGGGATCAAAGTTTTACATAGGAAACCATAGGATGTAATCTTCATATATCTTCTCAAGGACAGAAAATCCTTATGTTTAATCGTATTAATAGTGAAGTTTTTTTTCTTAAAGTGTTGATTAAGATTTGTTAAAATGATGACCCCGGAGTAAGGGTTGGGCAACGATGGGGGATCAAAGTTTGAAATGGGAATATATTTGTATAGAAAAAATGTAATTGATGGCTCAAAAGCCATATTTAGTTATATTGATATGAAATATGAAAGCTGACGTGCAGATTTAGATTTTGATCAAATGATTACACCCTTGGTAGAGTGAAACCACGATGGGTAATCACGTTTTAGATAGGAATCTTTCTCAGTCATTTATTTTATTTCTAAAAGAAATCGCAATTAATAGAATCCCAATTAATATATTTCTACCGCCTAAAAATAGTTTGCATTAGCAGGCTTGCTTTGGATAATAGATATACTAAACTATACAATTATAATTCATTGAAGCTCTTTATTGTGTTTTAGAGTCAGAAGCTTCGAAAACTTATTTATCAACAGCGAAGACGTACACAGTAGATTTCAATCAATCTCAAACACAATGATGCGTGTTTGTGTATGTGATAATTCAACAGGATCCTGGCAAACTTATTGTAACTATGGGGAAGTTTTACGATTGGATTGTAAATTTACTGTTGGAAAAAGATATCCTTGTATTACACATCCAGACACCTTGAAGCGACGGAAACGGGATCTAAATTACCTGCAAAGCCTAAAAAAGTTACAGAAATCATTAAATAGGGATAACAAATTTGAGATCCAGGTATATCTTGTAAATCAGCACTAAACCAGTACTTTCATTGGTTATTTTGCTCTCGATATCACAGTTCTTGGGGCTGGATCCATCCCCTTCCCCTTTTCTTTTTTTTTGTCGTTTTAAATCTTGGGCCGACACACATTTTTCCTATTTTGGTGGTTTAATAAGCATTTTTTGATATCGATAGTGTTACCCTTTTTGTCTTCACAAGCCGTTTTGAAATATATCGTTTTCGACTGAAGCATAAAAAGAGAGAAGGCTTGCAACTCTTTTCTCGTTATCTGTCTCACCTGTCTTGCTTAAACTTTATGTGATTGTTTATATCAATCAGAATAAAACATGGGGCACACATACATCAGTAAATTTGTTAAATATTCCTTTTTCTTTTTAAATTTAAATTTCAATATTAGTGCCCTTGATTTGTACCGGTAAATAATTCGATTAAATCCCTGACTTCTAGGATATATTTTTTACGTGTGCACCAGCTGGTCGCGGAAGTGAAAGAACGATGACACCATAATCTTAAAATTCTTAACAATGCTTTGCATAGAAAAGTTTCTCTGTCTTGTACAATGCAAGAAATAATGTGAAATTTGGTTGTGAAGGTCTTTTATTAAATATTAATCTACATCCATCAGAATCAGCTTTAGATAATCATTTTTTGTTATATATAGAACTTACATTTAAATTTGACGAGGAAATCTAGATTTCTTCTCAATATTAATGTTCCGAACGATATTACCCTGATGATGAAGCCAAAAATACCGGGTACTTCTGTTACCCGCTGATGCACACCAACAAAAACTTGCCGGAACGAGTGATTTAATCGAAATATGAAAAGGAAGAGGAATGTGTAACATATTTTATTGTTGTATGCAACTCCTATATTTTGTTCTGATTTAGATAAATAATCAAGCGAACTTTAAAGAGATGATGCGGATGACGACAAAGAGTTGAAAGCTTTTTCTCTTTTTATGTATCAGTCGAAAACGATATATGTAAAACGGCTAATGGAAAAAAAGGCTAACATTATCGATGTATTACATCTAATGCTTATAAACAACCAAGATAGGAAAAAAAGTGTATCAACCTCAGATTTTAAAAGAAACAAAATGGAAAGGGAGAAGGGACAACCCAAAGTGCCTGTGCTCGATATCAGTAATTTCAGTTTAGTGTGAAGAGTTGCATTACGTCATGATCTTTTTCGACAGACGCATGCATCCAGCGTAAAAAATACAACTGCCATATTACTAAAATTGACAAGGAAATAGTCTGTTGCACAAGCAACCAATGAGGGATTGGAAGAAACTTCCAGTCGTAAACCTTGCGGTTAGGAGGGGTGTACTAATTTACCTTGAGCGCAGCTGTCATCAAAGGTTGTGACGAAATGCAAAACTTTACACTAAACTGAAATTACTATTATATAACAATTGATTGATTTTATCTTGTTTTTAACTCTCTCGAGAAGTTTTCACTCATATGGAGGCGCCAACAATTGCCGATGGAGAGCTGCAAATTTTGCTCGGCACTTAGGGCATCAGAGCAGGGGGCAATCTTTTTCGTGCCGGCACCTTCTGACCTACTGCGACACGGAATCTTGGTATTACGGTCTCAACCGAAAGGCCAGTCTACACGTCCCTCAGTGGGATTCGAACCCGCCATGTAAGGATCACCTCTTTACCTCGCGACTCTAAAGCAGACCCTCTAACCGCTGCACCACGCGCGCGACTGAAATATAACGAAAGCATATTCAATTTATAAGTATATATTAGAAGGATTTCAACACCTCCTTTTAAGTCAAATCAAGATCATCCTTATGTGCTTTTTAGCTCACCTGAGCCAAAGGCTCAAGTGAGCTTTACTGATCACAATTTGTCCGTTGTCTGTCGTCGTCGTCGTTGTAAACTTTGTGTTGTATGGAAGCATCCTCAGGAAGTGTAGATTCAAGTTTGTTAATATCATGACCCCTGGGGGTTGGGCGGGGCCAAAATGGCCGACCAAAGTTTTACATAGAAATACATAAGAAAATTCTTTAAAAATCTTCTTCTCAAGAGTAACAAAGCCATAGTTGATCATATTTATATGGAAGCATTCACAGATAGTGTAGATTCAAGTTTGTTTATATCATGGCCCCCTGGGGTAGGGCGGGGCCAAAATGGCCGACCAAAGTTTTACATAGAAATATAAAGGAAAAATCTTTAAAAATCTTCTTCTCAAGAACCACTGGGCCAGGAAAGATGAAACTTATGTGGAATCATCCTCAGATAGTGTAGATTCAGGTTTGTTCACATCATATCATGACCCCCGGGGTAAGGGTGGGGCCAAAATGTCCGATCAAAGTTTAACAAAGGAATATATAGGAAAAGTCTTTAAAAATCTTCTTCTTTAGAACCACTGGACCAAGAATGATAAAACTTATGTGGAATCATCCTAAGGTAGTGAAGATTCAAGTTTACTCAAATCATGACCCCCGGGGGTAGGGTGGGGCCAAAATGGCTGATCAAAGTTTAACATAGGAATATATAGGAAAAATCTTTAAACATCTTCTTCTCAAGAACCACTGGGCCAGGAAAGATGAAACTTATGTGGAATCATCCTCAGGTAGTGTAGATTAAAGTTTGCTCAAACCATGACCCCCAGGGGAAGGAATGGCCGATCAAAGTTTTACATAGGAATATATAGAAAAAATCCTCTTCTCAAGAACCATTGAGACAGGAAAGATGAAACTCCTGTGGAAACATCCCCGGGCAATGTAGATTCAAGTTTGTTCACAACAAGACCCCCAGGGGTAGTGTTGGGGAAATGGCCAATAAAAGTTTTACATAGGAATATATAGAGAAACCTTTTAAAATCTTTTTTTCAAAGCCACCCTTAGTGATATTTATATGGAATCATCCTTAGGTTGTGTAGATTCAAGTTTGTACAGATCATGACCCCCTCGGGGGTTAAAATTCAAGCCCCCCCCCCCTTTCTCAGTAAACTTTCAGTTCTGATATGATCTGGTAAATGTGCTTTTTCCTAGCCAATTGCTCAGGTGAGCGATGTGGCCCCTGGGCCTCTTGTTTGGGAAATATTCTTCTTTGTTTGGATGACTGAATAATTATATGGCCAATTCAGGAATTTTTCACTTATACAGAGACGTTAACTAACATATGCAGGTCAACAGTTTCAAATTTTACCAAATGAGAACTTATGGACATTTAGCAGTGAGGAATTTTTATTGTGCCGACGCCCGTCATGATATTGGACTTTGGTTTTTAGGGTCTCATCCATAAGACCTGTAACTTTCATTTCAAAGTGCCGGCACTTGGTAAAGTTAAAGCTGCTACCTATTCTAATCAAGTCAGACTAGTTCTAGTTGCAGTCGTGATTCGGACCTATCCAATTTTCGACAGGTATCATTCTATCTCATATGTTTGGTCATTGTTTTATACCAAATTTGATTGTGGAATGCCTAGTCTGCCGAAAATATGCACAGAAATCACGGCGTGTGTGTCATGCCGACAGGGGATTTATACTCCTCCTAGGCACCTCTGATCCCATCTCCGATGTTTTCAGTAGTTTTAATGCTGTGGTAATATAAACTGTATATTAAAAAGAATTTAGTAAAATATAGAAACATATTTTTTTAGCTTACAAAGTAACTAATTCATTTATTACTTTTCAGATTACCAAGTTTAATGAATCTACTCATAGGAAAAATTAAGTATAGCGAAGGAGAACATTTTTCTTTTGACAATGTTATATTTAATTTGTACATTACATTTCAGAGATATAAAAGACAAATAGCTCCAAAGACCTTTACGTACGAAGAAGCTGAAACCAAATGTTTATCCGTGTTTGAGAAGTCAACGGCATACAATACATGCATAGAATACGTAACTGATATGGACAACTCCTCGTTGAAAAATTGTATATCAGACTTGCAAGTACGTTGATTTCTCTTAATTTTTTTCGGTTAATTTATTGACTGTTTATCTCATAACCTTGATGTTTGACCCCAATCAGTAAGTCCATGAAATCAAAGCAATGGACAGTGGACAATGTTTTTTAAGGTAGTCCGATCCTCAGCTTCTGAAAATCAGGCATTGTGTGATTGAAAATGCTCACAGAGGTGTCTCTCAATTTTAGATGTAACTCTATATGCATTTACCCACGGTGTTTCTCAAAACTTCACCTTCACAGTTAATCATATATTATAGGGAAATTAGTAAATCTCAGTTGAATTTTTAGGAAATGCAAATAAAACTACATACTACGTATTTTTTTTTATTGAAAATTCGCCAACAAACACATTTTAGGAATAATAATATCATAGGTATATATATCAAGGCTTTTGAAGAAAATTGCTTGATTTTTATACTAACTTGGTTCTTTGATTTCTCTTTTATACTTGGATTATTTTAAAATGCATAGTGTATAAAGTGTTTCCTTTTATTGAAAACGCCATTAATCACTTCATAATTTCATATTATGCTAATCAACATTGAAAATTACGAAAGAATAAATTCAAGATAATTTTTGAGGTACAAATATCAGCTTTTAAAAAACCATTTTTATAAACTTCAAATCACATTAAGAGGCAACAAATGAAAACTGTTGCACATAAAAATGCAATTTCAAGCTTTGTTTTGAGACTTTTTGAATTTAATTATATACCGGTATTAAAGAAAGAGTTATCCTTCCTGGCTGAGGGTCTTTAAATTGCTTTAATTTGTTTTATCTTCACGTGAGGTGTGGATAGAAATGAATCTGTAGACGTCTTTAGAGACACGTATTTAATGGAACGTTAGGGTAGTCGCAGATCAAAAGAAGAGTTTGATGTTTCATACAATGATGTTAATTGTTTTCAGGTACAACGATATATACAGCACAATGTAGAACAATATTTGGAAGCTGCATATTGACTTCCAATTTGCCATTAATTGCATTGAAAATTAGCCACACAGCAAAATATATAAGATTTTCCATTTTTTAAATAGGGAATCCCCACTGTTCTGAAAAATTGCCTCCTTGAAACAGAATAATTTTTATATATGCACAAAGAGGCATATTTTTTTCCTTCAAAACTGACATTTCCGATTTTTGTTTCAAAGAGGCATACATTTGTAGTTTTTAAAAACGCAATAATTGAATAAAAAAATTATCCAATCCATAGGAAATGCGAAATGTGTATATAAAATAACGGACTGGTAATAGTGTCCGAAATGGTCTAATTGATATACTGATGGACTTCAAATTCTGCTTAATACTTTTACCTGAGTCGGGTACGAATCCTGAAATGGGTCATTTTTGCATTTTTTCCCTTCATTTGTTCATATGTAATGTGATTGCAATGAGATATATCTCTTTTAAGAGAGAGAGAGGGGAGGGGGGGGGGAGAATTTCAAGAAGTTAATAAGTAATATATTAATAAATGTCATAATGCTTTATTTAATTTTGTCTTGGAAAATAAAGTATTGCTTTAAATAATTTATTTTTTTAACAGTTTACTCATTTTGATTCATTTTTGGTCTGTTATTTAGTGGCCAAGATTTGATTTGAAACAAATGGAATGTCTTGGGTGTACATGTAGCTCCAACAGTGTGATTATGGGACAAAGTTTCATTTTAATGAAAAAATATTTTTGCACGATGTATAGCTTTTCAAATGCTGTGCAAGATACACTGACTAATAAGGAGCATTCTTTATTCAAATCAATCTAATATCTCAGGAATATTGATGTTCTATTGCCAATACTATAAAAAATTACATGTACTTTAAATAAGTAATTTACTATAGTAAGTTTACTCTAGACATCTGTACTCAGTGTATTCATACTCATTCAATCTCTTAACGTAAAATACTTTTATTGTTTTAGAATTTTATCATGCATCAAATTTTATTCCTATCAGCTTCATACCTCGACCTCTTTTACATTTGAAACTCATGCTAGTGTTGTTTGTGAAAATCAATGCTAGGAATTAAAAATGTTGAAATTAAGAGCAGATGACTATTTTTCTTTAAGGGAAATATTATGTAGTTCTAGTTGTTATACGTTTTAAACATTTTCCCTTCAATTTTAGAAGTTTATGGTTATATTCATAGAAGACTAAGTTTTTTTTCTACTATAACATTGTTAGTTAACTGGTATGATGGGATTTATAAACATACACCTCGAAGAGGTGCTGGAGACTTGTTCAACGTTCATTCTATTGAATTCCACATTTCAAGACGTGAATCCCGAAGTCACCTACCAAATACAGACCCTTTGTCCAAGGAACTGCAGTGGAAATGGTGTTTGCAATAAAGGTTAACCAATACTGATAAAACATTCATAATTTTTGGTTAAATTATCCAGAATTACCCACTGTAATCTAGTGTATCAATCTATTCGATAATAAAGCATATTATTAATGTATATATTCTTTTGACAAATACGAAAAAATAAGCAGTTAGGGCATATTATTTGTTTTATTTGTATGTACGTACAAATGAATTATCTGTAAATTTTTAATCCCAGACCAAGGTTTCACTGTAAACTACAAAAAATGATGAAATTCATTTGCTTGTTTTACTTTCCAAACATTTGTTTAATGACGTTTTAAACATGAAATATTTTATTTTAGGTAACTGTACGTGCTACACCGGTTATGCTGGTAGTGATTGTTCCTTTGATTTGTCTGGTCCGCCTGAAATCTCTCACATCTCAGATTTCGGATTCTGTGACAAATCTAAAGAAAGCTGTGATGAGATCACAATCTATGGGAAATATTTCATAGAATATATGAACACGCTCTGTTACATGACAAGGCTGTTGGTAACGATATATATTTGAAATTATATACTGTTATTTATTGTTATCCTTCTGAAAGAAAGGTCTTCAAATAAAAACCATGAAAACTGCCCTAGCAATATTATATTATTTTGAATTTAAATTATTTTTTTTTCCATTTTCTGATATTTTATGCATTATAACACAATGTTTTCCGAATACACATGTATCCTAATTATAATTAGAATTCATACGTGTATTTTTTAAAGTATGATGCGGACGGAAAACTGATAACGACGGAGCTCTTTCAAACGACGCTAGAGGAAAGAACATTGTTTGAGGGATACTGCTCTCTTCAATATAGCAACACAGCAACATGGGTGTCATTTTTTCAATTCAATGTATCTCATGATGGACAGAATTTTACAGAAACTTTCGATGTATATACGTTTCAATCCATGTGCCAGGAATACCATAATGATAGTGGGAAAATATATTACACATTTAAGGTAAACTGTAGTACTTAATTTGTAGAATGAATGGTCAATGTTGTAACTCTATTTTTTGACAACTCGTGTATTGTGGTTGAAGTTTATATTCATTTTTTTAAATTATTTAATGATAAAACCTTATCTGAATGTCCGCATCGATCAACCTTACGGATAGGATTTTGAACATCCACACAAAAAATCGGTAATATTTGTATTTTGCACACCATTGACTGTGGACCCATGGGAAGTGGCCGAAAAAAACAAGATTAAAAAATATAAATCTACTGAAAAGGGATCACATATTCAAAGTTTAAGGCAAGATTTCGGAAACATGAAATCCGTGTTCGACATGATTGACTCTATGTGTACATGATGTATTAATCAAAATGATAATATGATGAAGATAACACACAGTGATAAATCTCAGGGGAAAAAAATACAATATCGGACCCCAGAAATTGTAAAGTTGGGATCAGATGCCACGGGGAAGTAAGCAGCTGTTGTAGATCAGCCTTGATAATATTAGTTTATCTAATAATATTTACATTTCCAAATAATTTTCCTTAAGATTCTTTGCAAATAGGAGCATTGTTCATTTTCTCATGAACAATTGCGTTGCAAGTCTCCATTGTCATGTCACAATACCACGCTTGATGTAAAACTATATTGCAAACTGTTTTGCTTTAAAAAAATAACAGTTGAATGGCGTAAATTTGTGGTTACTCATCAGAAAAATAATGTAAATATAAGAAATGAATTTAATTTTTGAAGATTCATGAGATATATGAACTAAAACGCTTCACGCCTGCACATTTATCATGAAGCGCTAACGCGCTTCATGAAATATGGCAGCGTGAAGCGTCGTAGTTCATGACCTCGTGAATCTTCAAAAATTAAATTCATTTTTTAAATATTTTTGGTAAGAAAAACATATTAACATGATATGAAAGATATATATTTAATGGTATTGATCTGTTCATAGGAAGGGTTTTGTTTTATTGATGGACTATGTATCCCCGATAGAGCAACAAATCCGGAGTATCTATGCGATATCTGCAATGTTGCAATAAACAGATTTAGATGGACATATAATGAAGGTAAATAAAGGACATCTTAAATCTCTAAATGTGGATTAATACTATTTGAAGCATGCACATTAGAGTACACTTTTTGGCAAATATTTCAGATTTTCTTATTCTGGAAGAAATGCAATTTCTATACTAAAGATTAAAATTTGTAAAATTTATAAGATGAATTAATTTACCAAATCTGTCATTATTTCTTAAATGTCACGCGTTGTATGTATGTCGTAATGGTCATTAAATCTTTTTTGTATTGGTTTTTCACATTTACATGTACACTCTTAACAAGAATGCAGTGTATTTTGTTTTTAATTTTTAAAGAGGTTTGCACTGTATAAGGAAAATTGATTAAGTATTTTTTTTCCAAATATATATATTGATACATTGATGAATGGTTTTTGAACAGTATTAGCACACTACAGCTTCATTTACATTGAAATTTAAAAAAAATCAAAACAAGACAAAAACAAGAGTAAAACAATTGATCAGATAACGATAAAAGTAAATCAATACAATATCTAACAAAAATGTGCGATGTATAATTTTATATTTTAGGGCTATGTCTAATTGATGGAAGGTGTATTGCAAGCGGAGAGAGGGATAAATCAAATTTTTGTAGATTTTGCAATCCTGCATCCAGCAATACTTCTTGGTCTCTTTATGAAGGTAAAGTAACTTTCAATTCAGTATTTAATGTTTTTATGAGTTTAAAAGGTTAATCCTACATACGTATGTTTTTAAACACATTTTACCGATTGTATTGGATTTTTTTATGACCATGAACAAAGTACAGAAGAATGAAAAGAAATGTTTTAGAATTAAAAGTAGACCAGTTTGAAAAATATCTTAGATTTTAATCTGAAAGTCAAATCAACATAATAAAAATACGTGCAATAATAGGAGAAATGAAAGTTGAAATTGTGTAGTACCTAAAGACCAAAGATCATAGAAATATCCGTATGAATAGATAATTTTGTGGTGCAAAATGCATTTTTTGTAGAGTCCTGCTTTATTGATAATAGATGTTACTTCAAACGAGAATCAAGGCAGAATAATAAATGCGAAATATGTAACCCAGACAAAAATCAGAATAACTGGACACTTAACGAAGGTATGTAAAATATAAATAGATCTCATGATAAACCATTTGTGAACAGAAACAAGAAAAGGTGGTATTTTCTTGACATCGGATATTTCTCAGGATGTCAGCAAACGATAATATTTGAATTTTTTCAAGCATGGTAGAACTTCAGATCTGAAGTAAATGGGTTTTTTTTCGTAGTATTTTTTCTAAAAAAAAAACTTAAACCATATTTAATTGCAATTTTTGGTCAATAACACAAGAAGTTAAATACTTTAATTAAATATAAAAAAAAGGTTTTAAAATTGTAATTATTCAATATTTGTTAAAAAAATATAGCGATTTTGCAGTTTAATCAAAGTACAAAGTTTCATTAATTTACCCAACCTTCGTAATATCTTTTATATTTCAGTGAATATTTGCAATCAAGTTAACTACACGTTTTTCCCCCGTTTTGACGCATCATTTTATCAACCATCACATATTGTGCAGATTGTTATGCATTCATTTATGAAACCTTTTTTTTAAAATCGACGAACGATTATTTCTTTACTAGAATGTATAACGACTCAACATCCAAACACAGACACAAGTACAGAATCCACAAAAGAATCAACAACACCTGTCATAGAAACCAGACAATCAGCGGAATCAACGACAATAGGACAATCAACAGATTCAAAATGGCTGACATCTTCGTCAACTAGAGAACAAATGGCAACCACAGCATCAACTTCGTCTGAAGCAGAACACTCGACTGATCCGCTGTCTGATACCGATATTATTATCATCTTATGTACTTCAGGTTTTATCATTGTCGTGGTCATCATCATTGCTTTTGTTGTCTATCACAGTCGAATGTGAGTAACTTGACCATTCTCGTACTTTTTACAGAATTTGTCAACCTTGTGTTTTGTGCAGAGTTTTGTCATTTTATCATTACGAAGAGTTGGGCATTTAAACTCCCAGTACATGTAATACGAGACGTAATGAACAATTGGAAGGCGTTTGTAAGGAAAATTTTTCTTGTTTTCTATAATCAATGATTGAAAATTTATTTGCGACGACTTTTTTTCGCGATTTACTAGGGGTTAACTAGTTGGCGACGATTAAGTTTTGCAATCCGACCTTTTTCAATCTGTTGTAAATAGACAGAGAGACGTTAAGTATCGATTCGTGGCGAGAAATATTCGCAATGACGAGGCTGTCGCGAACGTCGCAAAATTTTCCCGCACGGGAATTAGAGTTGGTTTTGGTTTACAGCATACTGGTATAAGCTCGGTTGGGGCAGTTTTTTTATTAACCGCTTCGTTGTTTATAAAGCGTAAACTCCCCCGACCCAGTTATACAGTATAACTTGGGTTGCTATTTAATTCATTCCTTATGCTTTGTGAGTAATTACAAGGAAGTCAATTTATTTTGCAGGCGAACAAAAGATTCCAAGACAAGATGGACTATTCCAAATATTACAAGTACATCAAAAGAACTTCCTGGAATATCGCTGATGAGCTACACGAAGAATTAAAAAAAAAACATTTTATGATTTTTTTTTTCATACTGAATATATAAGATGATAGCCAAAATAAAAAAAAGAATATTTCTAAAGAATGGTAAATGAATGCCAAACTCAAAAACCATCATCAGAAAAGGTGTTCTTTTAATACATTATTAAATCATTCAAAGGATTTATTGCTCTAGAGGAAAGCTAAGGATTTGAAATTGTGTAACTTCTTTTAGGACTCCAAGTCCTCTAATGAATTAAAGTATAGCTTCTTTTTAATTTAACATTATGAAATTTGATGAAAGGATGTTCCGTTTTTTGAAATTGTTTTAATTCATCTGATCTAAGCTTCTTTCTCGTCAATGAGACATAACTGTTATTGGATTTTCCTCGTATAACATGTTTACAGATTACACATATACCTAGACAAAATTTCAAAAGGAATATCATAAAGGCAGGTACTTCAAACTTCAAAATATGATAATCTTATCTTAGAGCTGCAAGATCATGCCCCAGGATTATGAAACATCTTATGCTTAAGGAGGCTAGGGGGGTAACAAATTAACCAGCCGATTTATGTTTAAGTTAATATTTTAGATATGATATCTTAAGCTGTCAACTTTCATTCGCCAAAGAAAAATTTCATACATCTTAGATTTAAAATTTCATAATTTTTTATATCTTGATATGGAGCTCTTCTTTTAAAGGAGGTCAAAATAGTCTGAAATTGGCCATAACCTCCCAGCCCCTTTAAGTCAAAATCTTTGATCACGCAGACAAAAATTAAAATATTTGTCAATATTGATTGACAAAACTATTATCAATTGCAACATTTAAATACCAGTTTAATAATTAATAAACATTTTATAGATGATTGAAAATCCGATTTAGTCTTAAGTTTGTTTCATGATCCTCGGGCCAGGTGAGTTTTTTTTACTCGAGGAGAAAAACACAAACTGACCTTACTGTTGTTATCACTTGTTAAATGCATAATGAATGTCATGTAATTAAACAATTAAGATTTGTCATCAAACATGTTTTTTTCTCGATATAAACGCCTACATATAATGTATATACTTTTAATTATTAAATTGTAAAATTTCTTCTCTTGTTGTCTGTGTTTATACCATTCCTAAAAAAAACCCTGATCTTATAGTTCCCTTTACGCCTATAATACACATGTTGATATTAAATATACTTCCATGTAACGTTTTAGTTTTGATTGTCATAATTTTTCAATTTTCTGGAAAAAAATATTAATATATACATCTTGATTATTTTTAAACTGATTTGGAGAAGTTGTACACTTATCACTATAAATAAAAAAAATATTGTTAGCCGGACTTTTATTTTAGACCTATACAGGACTAATATTCTATGCTATGCTAAGTAAGAGTCACAAAAATCTTTATATTGGTATCATAACATTAAAAGACTTTCTGGAATGATAAAAGCCTTATGTTTTGTTTCTTCATCTAGGTATGATTCAACTAGTTTTATGCTTAATTATAGTTTGATTATATGATTATCATATTCAAAGACTTAAATTTTTATAAATTATAAATAATGTAAAGTCGAACATATGGTTTTGTCTCCTATTATATTATAGAAGAGAGAAAATTAAAAAAAAATATTTTAAATACTTTAATTAAGAAAAAACAACATATAAATAACATAAACCAAGTTGTAGTGTCAAGAAATGACGGAATGAATGATGCAATCATTCATAACGTCAGTTGAGTATTTTAGATGACGTTTGATATTTGCCTTCCCGGTGATGGCCTTCCTCCTCTAAAAGTTGCCTGTCTCTGAAACTGCCTCATAGCTGCTTGTATCGTCCCAAGTGGATTGTTTTGAGCTGTTTGGAGGTTTGGAGTATTGGGAAGTTGAATTCCCGCCTGAGAAGGGGCGTTTCGAGGCCCTGCTTGGAAGGCAGCAAAGTCGGTTTGAAGTCTTTGTAA